ACGAGATAGCGAGGTGCGACTGTACTCACTCAGTTCTACCTGCTCTATAATTCTATGAGCTCAGCCAGATTTTTGAAATCATTCTTTGTTGTTGGGCTATAAAAATGCTCTGGCTGGGGCAATTATTAGAGAGTTTATTAAGCCACCCGACATTTTTGCAAACAAAAAAAGATAAAAGATCAGCGGTCTAGGGACAAAGGAGAAGAAAAACCAACGCAAGATTGGTGACTTTTTACGCTGGTCTTTTTGTTCTTGTCAGAAATATCTGGTGGCTTTAAATTAAACTCTTGTATATATATAATCAGAAAAGTACCTGGACCACTTTTGGCACGTGATTTGCATGTGTTAGTAAGCAAGTCAATGTGTGTTAGTTTCCCCCACCATACCTTTTTTGGTATTGTAGCTACTTATATGTACATATCCTAGAGATAAAGCAGAACACAAATACCCAAGACCCCCGAGAACTCTACATTTCTAGCTCTTCTCTGCACAGCAGGTGAATCAAGGGACAAGATAATGCCGCTATTAGTGTGGCATCGGTAGTATTTGTAAAGAAGCACCCGCAGAACACTGGGCTCTGGAATTTTTTGTATAATACAATAGGTAATGATACACCACTATGAGTAGACGCCATATCCCTCAAAACGCACAAACTTTTTTTTTAAAGCTCCAATATAGGGATATCCTAGAAAACGACAATCAATCCTCAGAAGGACTAACCCTCCGCCTCGATGCTCTCATAGGCGTTGCTCTGTTTCTCAGTTAGCTTTCCCCACTCTAAACAAGAAGTACAGGTAGGAAGCACATACCTTATGCTTCGGAGTAAAGTAGAAATCCTCCGGCGCCTTCCCCAAGAACATCTCCGTGATCTTGATCCAATCCCTATAATCCCCGCTCCCCAGCAGCGTCTCCAGCTCATTCCTCCCCTTCCACGGCGGCGGGCGGTCCTGAATCTTCGGCGGCAAGCTCTCCAAGATGCCCAGCGGCACATAGCGACACGAAAAGCCCAGATACTCGAGCAGGAACCTCCGCGTCGTCGCAACCCCCAGCTCATCCGCGCCCCAGTACTCGAGCCCGTAGCGCGCAAAGTCGCCCATATACCCTAGCCGCTCCGTCGCCGACTTGTCGAGATACTGGCCGGTCGTGATTTCCTCAAAGATCCACGGCTTGATCAGCGCGCCGCGCGCAATCATGACAGAGTCCGTGCCAGACTGCTCAATGCCGTTGTAGTAGTCAATGTGCGAGTAGCAGTCGCCGTTGCCAACGAGGTACACGGGGAGCCTCTCACGCCCCTCCTTGTCGGCGGCGGTATCGGCCGCGGCGCTGGACGCCTCCTTCAGGCTCTTGATCAGCGCCGCGGTCTCGGCGATGTAGCCCCAGTCTGCGGAGCGCGTGTAGCGCTGCTGCCTGCTCCGCCCGTGCAGCGTGATGGCCTGCACGCATCCCTTGTCGTAGACCTTCTGCACGAGCTTCTGCGCTGTGGGGTGGCCGTCCTTGCAGCCCATACGGATCTTTACGGTGATTGGTGTTTCGCCGCTGACGTAGTTCATGCCGGAGAGCATTCTCATGAGTTTGCTCTGGCTGTCGAGCAGGGCGGAGCCGCCGCCCTGCTTGTAGACGAGGTCGATGGGGCAGCCGCAGTTGAGGTCGACGAGCGATAGGCCGTGGCGCGGGGAGGAGGCACTGGGGAAGAGGGTGCAGAGGGCTTCGGTGGCGCGGATCACGGCGTCGGGGCGGGTGCCGCAGATTTGGGCGCCGAAGTGGGGGAGCTCCGAGGAGTGCGCTTTGAGGAGGGCCCATTCGGGCTTGTGGCCTTGGAGGAGTGGCAGGGTCATAGCCATCTCGGAGTAGGTAAGTGCGGCGCCGAGGGAGGAGCAGAGGCGCCGGAAGGGCATGTTACCGGTAGTTCTGTAGGGAAATGTTAGCATTTGATACAGGTACTTGGAGGACGAGAGTGAGGCTCACGTTAAGGGTGCGAGAAGGGGAGTTTCGCGGCCAATGTAGAGCCTGCGCTTCTCCTCGGCCCGGACGGGCTCCTCGACGTAGGAAGCCCGGCCCTCTAGGATGTCACCAGCTAGGTCGCGCTCCTTCTTCTGCTCATCGATGAATGCGTTGTAGACCTTGCTCTTGGGAAAGGGAAACTGGTTCTTCCTCAGTGTAATCTTTACACTCATGGGGACGCTGTTCATGCACTCCCCATACGGATCATCAAACCCGCCAACAGGAACCTCCTTCTCCCAATCCTGTGGTCTGTCGTCGTTAGCGCCCTTGATGACCTTTGAGTTTGCGAACTTCTGCTTCATCTGCTCCGCCATGGAGGCCTCATAGGCCTTCTTCCGCTCCTCGTCAATGACAAGCATAAGCTCCCCGTCCTCCTCCTTGCTGTGCGACTTGAGCCACCTGCAGCGCCAGCCACTCGCGCACCACCCGCGCTTCTCCCACACCGGGCAGACAGCGTCAATGGCCTCCTTCTTGCTCTTAAGATAGTCCCTAAGCACATGTGTATAAGCGCACAACTGCCTCGCCGGGGGTGCCGCTGTCTGCTCCCCTTCTCCCTCCTTCTTCTCACCAGCCTCCTTCTGCTCCTCTACCTTCTCGGGAGTCTCTTGCTCCTGGCCCTTATTGCCCCCTCTGCCCTTCCCCTTGCCCTTGCCGCGCTTCTCAGCGGCGTTATTCCACCGCGCATTGGTGCTACCCGCAAACTCGCACACTGCACTCGCAAACAGGCTCTCGCGCTGCAGCAGCACAAAGCTGTTGCACAACTTGACATCCTCCTTTGCGAGGTGGAACTTGCGCGCCTTGTTCTGGCCGCGGTCACGTCTCTTGCCGCGGTCGCGGTCGTCGCCGCCACCCTCGTGGCGGGCGGCTTCGGCGCTGTCGTCGTTGGCGACGGTGGAGGGGTCGATGCGTGGGGCGGAAAGCACGAGGAACCTGCAATTGGTGTCAGTTACCGCCACTTTGGGGGAGGGGATATGAGGGTAGGAGAGGGGGATGGGAGACGGACTCAGGCTTGATGGCAGCGCAGCCGGCGCGCGGGTCGGTGCGGGCCTTCTTTGCCACTGGCTGCTCGGAGGTTGAGACTGCGGCAGTGGAGGTGCCGGTGACTAGTGTGGGCTCCGTCGTCGTCACTGTTTCGACAGGCGCTGGCTTCTCCTCGAGGTGCTCAGAGGAGCGCTTTGCCATTGCGGGCTCAGCGGTTAACTCTTGCGATGACATGGCTGTTGGGTATTTGTTGCGTGGGGAGAATGAGGGGAGGAGGAGGAGGAGAAGAGAAGAGGAAGAGAAGGATCGAGAGGGTCTGGAAAAAGATTCCCTGGGGATGGCGGGCGATAAGCGATAAGATGCATGACTCAGCCACGCCGAGTGACGGGCCGTGACGGGCAGCCGCGTTCTAGATCGATCACGCAGCGGCAGACACGGGGAGGCTTTGACGTCACGGAGATCTAGAGGCCGGTGGATGAGATGTGGATGTAGGAGAGAGGCCGGCGGATGAGATGTGGATGAGGGCGGTCGGTCTATAAGAGCCCTGATGCCCCAGGCACGGACATGGCTATGGCTTTCTTCAGCTGTTGTATTAGTCTCCCATAGATACAAAGCACATAATATCAGCATCCACCATGGACGCCCAAGCACACTGTCTCTGCGGAGAACTCCAATGGACCGCGCACTTCTCCCAAGGAAAAATGCCAGGCCAGGTCCTGTGTCACTGCGTGAGTCTTTCTGCATGCACCTTCCACTGCCCACCAGCCAGAAAGACAGTCAGTCACTGATATATAATGATTTTCCAACCCCCCCAGATGCCCTGCAAGATGTTTGGCGGCGGCGAATACACCGTCAACATGATGGTCCCCAAGGTAGCAAACTGCAGCACCAGCATTAAGCACCCAATTTTATATTGCAGCTCCACCCCCCCCCCCCACAGAGACCAAGACTAACGAAGCCTGAACCTCGCACCGCTAGTCCGACGTTAAGATGATCAAGGGCACCCCCAAAGTCTACACCTACACCGGCGAGTCTGGCAACCCCGTCGACTGCGTAGCTCCCCCCCCCCCCCCTCATAGACCACCCAACCAATAGGCTAATCTCCCAACCCAGTTCTACTGCCCCAACTGCACCACGCACGCCTACCACCACGAGAAGGTCCTCGGCGACCGCTACACAATGCACTCGCTCCTCTTCGAAGACGACGCGCTCAAGCAGCGCCCCATCGAGATGGAGCTCTTCGGAAAGCACCGCATGCCCTACCAGCCCGAGATCGCAAAGACATACGCGGTGACGGATAACTCCTAAGTCCAACCCCCCATCGCGCGTCGGGGCTTGGGGGAGGGGAAAATAAAAACAAGTGACTGGTTTGTGAAGAGGCTTTGTGGAATAATTTGTTTTATGAAATGTGGTACGATCTATATTATATATATATTTATGTAGCGCGGTTTTATATATACTCAACGAGCGCTGGTCAACCCTACCGCATCATCCACTACATGTATGTATGTATGATGCGGTGTTACTGTCGACCCTGAAAAATAAAATCTGTATATTAGCTGAATATAATCATGGTACGGAATGGAAATATCGATATCGGGCGGTTGATGAAATGGTGTTTGAACAGATATTCTGCTAAACCGTCTTACGAAAGCTCCCGTACTTTGGTCTCGCTTGCAATTGTGCAAGCTACATATACGCAGCTGAGGTTGAAGGGAGAAGGCCATGTATTAAACAAGAGAAAAAGAAAAAGGGAGAAGGCCAACTGCGTCATGGGTGATCACTCGGGTTGCATCTCGCCCTTGGAACTCACGGCGAAGCGGCCGCCACAGTCTCTAGACACCACATCACTATGTACACACTTCAAAAAAAACACTATACAAATCTACCAGTACTCTTCGAGAGCCTAAAGTGTGGTCTGCTTAAGTTGCACTAGCCTGGCGTGTCTGGAAGCTAACCACAACAACGTCAACAACCACAAAAAAATTCAATAAGACATACCCTCGACTGGCAGCATAGCTCCTGTAGTGTAGTGGTAGCACACCCGTCTGTAGATAGACCGGCTCTTTAGCTGGGAAGCCCCGGCTAGGGTACCGGAGGTTTGATTCCTCCTAGGTGCTAACATCTTTCTGACTTTTGATTTTATTCCCGGGGTTGAAGATAAAGATAGATGGATCAGTATATGTATATTCTCCCATATACACAAATGTACGTATAAGGCCTCTATAGTTTAGAAGAGAAGAAGGAAAGGGTCCCTGTTATTGTGGTAAGTTATTGCGGTTGTTGCTGACAAATTTTGTGCTTTAAACTGCGTCTATATATAAAAGAGACGTATTCTCTTCGGCCTCTTCCTTGTTTTTAACCACCAATTTTTACAATCAACTTCACTTCATCGGTTCTCTCTGCTCTAAAGAGTATGTATATATATATTTATTTCCTCCAAATAACTCACTCCACTAAATACCTCCACACCATACCACTAACTATATATTCCCACCCCCCCTTCCTTCCTACCCTACCCCCTTACATCCCTCTCCTAACATGCAACAACCTAGCCAACTATCTACAAAGTACCATTAACAACCGCCGCCGAGTGGTATCTCGCCAAATATCCATATGCCGTCAGGTACTTGTCAAAGTAAGGAAGCAACTCCGGTGTTCCTGGGGTGTGCCTCCAATCCCTCATCAAATCCATCGCGACCGCAAAATTGCCCATGAGCGTGACACCAGCCTTGGCCATACGGTCATTAGCTTCTGCCGCGAGCCTCGGGTTGAAAGTTCCGCTGGCATCCGTGTTGGCAAAGACCTCGTATCCCTCCTCGCGCAGGGAAAGTGCTAGGAAGGCTGTGCACACCTATTGTGCCGGCCACATATATATATGTTAGCGTCAACTCAACAAACGGGAGGAAAGAACTCTAGCTACTACGCACCTCGGTGACAATCCCGCCAAGGATGATCTGCGTCTTGTTGGCAGCCCTCACAGCGTCCCGGAAATCCTCGTTGTCCCATGCGTTGACCTCGCCGTTGCGTTTGATCAGTGGTGCGCCAGGGTGCATATCAATGATTTCCTGCGGGAGAGGCCCGTTGGGGCCTGTCTCGGCGCTGGTGGTGAGGACCGTGGGGAGGTCAAAAACGTTCCCGAGGGCGGCGTGGGCCAAGATGTTGTTTCTGTACTCGTCGGGGGCAAAGTCACGGACGAGCTGGAAAAGGCCGAGCTGATGGTCGACGACCAGGAGCATGGCGTTGTCTTTGTCGAGTCGGGTGAAGGTTTGGTCGCCTGTGGGAGGGAGCGGGAGATGTTAGTACTTGAGAGATGGGAAGGGGAGGGAAACGGAGGGGAGGAGTGTACCGGTTGTGGCCGCGAGGGCAGAGGTGAGGAAGAGGAGGGCGGTGGGGAGGGATTTGGAGAACTGCATTGTGAGTATTGATCTGGCGCTGGCACTGGTATCGAAGCTAATCTTGGGGAGAGAAGAGAGATTCTTGGGCTGTAGAGCTGATGAGTGCCAGAGAGCTGATGAGTGAAGTGAAGAAAGAAGGGTCCTTCTCCACGGTGGGAATCGTCAATATTTATATTGAACCCATCTCTCTCAGAGAAGCACCCAAATATACATAACTACGACAAATTGTCTTCTTCGGGCAATTGGGAAGGCCAATCTTCCATGAACAACAATTACGAGACAAATCTTAAGCATCGAGTAAGTACACTGCATTGATATTGAGGTTAACAACCCGGTAAACATTGACCCTGCATGCAGATATCGTTTTTGGGGACCGCTTTAAAATCCTTACCATGCATATATCGATTGCGGTGGAAACCTCCAGATAGAGTGAAGGCACGGTATGCAGCTCAATCTAACTATCCCGTCCCGCCAGAGAGATATCTTCTCTCTAGTGAAAGACCTCGATCCCGTCCCTATGATGAGTTGAGGTGTTTTGATTGGTGGCTGACAATTGAGTACAAAGCTCATGCTAATACAATTACATACTTAATTGCACGGCTAGTGGCCCCCGCCAATAACGACCTCTCAATTTATCTTATTGATACCGTCATTACCGTATAACCCTTGATTACTGAGCTTCCTCTACCAGATAAATTTCCTAGCCTTTTCCATCTGCGCTGCGTTGTTAACCAAGTTGTTCCACCAAATGAACTATGATTTGCTTATGCCACTTAAAGAACCCTGATGTAATCCAGAAAAACATCAACCACAGTGGCTTTCCAACCCTTACTACACATGTGCATTTCTGTGTCAGCGGCCACTGCTGTCGCTTCGTCGTCCATTTAGAGGTGCATACACGGAGGCTCCGGATGACATGCAGCACCCGCATGCATACAAAAGTACCTGAGGTACTGTACCTTCCCTCCCCACTAGTATCAAAGCGGATATTATGGTAGATCGTGCCCCAAGTTATTGCGGCGCAAACGCTTGACTCTCCTCGCCGACAGCCGGGTATAGAGTTTGGGAAAAAAAAATTTTTTGACGGATAGATTATTAGATTTCAAGGTTATTATGTAGGTTGATTATGCATGTCGTGACATGACCCTGGTCAGCAAGCTGCAGTGTTTACATCAGGCTCCCAAGATCAGCGATTACTGAGCAAACAGCAACCATAAGCGATCGATAATTATTATCAAGCTGCCCTTTTAAAAATTTTAATTAAGGTCCCAAGCTCGCGAACTTTCTCTGATTGCCCCCTTCTTGCATCCTGATCTTGGAACAAAAAGAGCCTCTCGTATATGCAGGGCTTTGATGGTTCCAATAGTTAACAGTAGCCGAAGAAAGACCCCAAAAGCCCGCGATTCCCAAGAATAGGATAAGGCAAGGAGATAGATAATGTCTCGTACCCGGACTTTTTCCCACTAGCTGATGCTGCTGGTTGGAGAAAGCTTGTTCCAAGGTACATACATTTATGTATGAATGCTGTCCGGTGCATGATAAGCCTAGAGCACATGTGCCGCAGGCAGCCTTTGATCACGGGTAGAGTACGTATAGAGAGTACCCTCAACTCAGGACACCTCTCTGCTAGAGCACAGAGAGAGACCATTCCGCCGAGTAATTCTCTACGCTGTCTTGAGGCTTGTATTCGAACACGTCCTATAACCTATGGTCGCTCCGCCGAAGCTAGACAGGCCAGGCAGGGCAGGTGCCGCCGACTGGTCTTGTTTAACAAAAAAACCAGCAAGCAAACACCAGGATCGAGTGACCCCTCATGATGCCCTGCCGAGTCTCTCTCTCTAGATCCCAAGCACCCCATCGTCAACCAAGACCAACTGGCTAGACACATGCCCGAAAGGAGAGCCATGTTGCCTGACCGGTTCCTGTCGATCTGTGTTTTTCCCCTTGAAACGCAGGGTCTTGATCCGCGATTCTTCTGAACCGGGAAGGTCCACCTTGACACCAACGGGACGGATCACATTGGCAGCCTGGCCGAAGGAGAACGCTCTGCTCTACATATTTCCTATTGCTCTTTACCAACGCGTGATGCACCCAAGGCCGCTCTCCTATTTCGAGATGGGACCGCTTAGCCCTCTCTCCCTGAAGGCTCCAACCAGTTCAGTTCCCTTTTTGCAAGGGGTTTAATTGGAGTCGAGGGGAAGGGGCGGGGGGGAGAAAGAGAAGTTGTTCCTCAGGTAGTAAAGCCAATTTAACACGGGCAGCCCGCGAAGCCGGTGAGAGTCTGTGCCGCCCCGAGCAAAAGCGATGATGACGTCATGTGGCTGCAGGGACACAAAAGTGCTACTCAACCTCGGTCGGTCCACAAACTACACCGCCGGCCGTACATGGCGCTATCCAACCTCGGTCGGTCCACAAACTACACCACCGGCCGTACATGGCGCTATCGCTCCACGGAACAAAGAAGATCCAGGCAGATAATATACATCATACATACATACATACATAGGAATATACATGTACCGTTAATTCTCGAACAATCCACTATCTCCGTATTTGTATGTGGTAAGTCCGAAGAAGGCGAATTGGCGTATCAAACTTCACGGATTCGTGCAGATACATACACCTATCTGCTTTTTCTCGCCCGGAATTAAGATTTAGCGAAGCGGATATAGTGGATTTCTCGAGAATTAACGGTAGTAGAGAGATTCACACTCCATCTACAAGATTACCCCGCTGTCAGCTCAACCCCCCCCGTAGCAAACAGCAGCACACACTCTGAAGGTCCGCGCCTGACAGCGGCATTGTGCCGTCGTGAAGCCGAGTCGGGCCGATGTCTGGGGGAGCGGAGAAATCACATGCTGGTGCCGCATGTCTCGCTTTAAGCCGGCATTCGGTGCACGATTGTGGGGAAGGGCGTTCTTGGCGGTGCAATAACAACAATTCACCACCACTTCTCTCCATTCACAACTCCTCTCCGTCACGCCCCCTCAAAGTGCAGTGCAGTGCAGTGCAGTTTAGATATACCCTTACACCAGTAGCAGTAGCAGTATCCATCACACACACACCCCACTCCCACCCCCCGCATTAGCTACCATGGCCGCCCTCCGCACAGCTCTCCCCCGCGTCCTTCGCCGGCCAGCAGCAGCTCTTGCCAGGCCAGGAATGGCCCCACTGCTTTCGAGGCGTCACTACTCCGAGATCAACCCCACGCCCATCTTCCACCTCACCGAGACCGAGGAGATGCTCAAGGAGTCCGTCTCCCGCTTCGCAAAGGAGGTGATCCTGCCAAAGGTCCGGGAGATGGACGAGGCAGAGATGATGGACCGAGGGATCGTAGAACAACTGTTTGAGCAGGGCGTGATGGGCATTGAGATTGGAGAAGAGTACGGCGGGTCCGGAATGAGCTTCGGATCAGCGGTTGTAGCGATTGAAGAGCTCGCAAGAGTCGACCCTTCAGTAAGCTCCACTGCCCTCTTCTCCGCCGTAGAACTCAGCTAATACCAGCAGGTCTCCGTCCTCGTCGACGTTCACAACACCCTCGTCAACACCGCCTTCCTCACCTACGGCTCCGCCGCCCTCAAAAAGAAGTACCTCCCCCGCCTCGCCACCGGCACCGTCGGCTCCTTCTGCCTCTCCGAGCCCGCCTCGGGCAGTGACGCCTTCGCGCTCCAAACCAAAGCCGTCAAGTCCTCCTCCGGCGGCTCCTACAAGATCACCGGCCA